GATCTTCATCCTGCTACGTTTTGAGGCTGAATGGGTCTAGCTCCACCAAACATTGTTTGGGCATAAGGGGACAGAGTGGGGGAGAATGGGATAACAGGCTGGGAAGTCTCTCAGAAGCCCCTCTGAGGACTGCACGGGGATCTGGCAGATTTAACAGGGGCTTTGTGCTCCCCCTGAGTGTTGTCCCAGCAGGTGATTGAGTCTCCTCAAGATAATGAGGCTGGGCTTTCCTGAGCTTTTCACAGTAAGTCAGATTTCCCAATCCTTTAGTCATTTTTGTGCGTTCCCTGATGCTCACTCCTCTGTCCTCGTGATGCCCATACACCAGAACTGTTGAAACTCTGACAATTACTCATCCCCAATCAAGGATCTCTAGCATTTATTTGCTTACTCAGACACCCTTTCTGTCAGCCTTTATGACCTTTGGACCCTCACAACACCAAGACCTCCTCACTTCAGACAAGTACATCCCTCCAGCCACCAGCACAGGACAATCTCTGCCAGGCTGCTGCTGCAGGATGGATCCCCCAGGCAGCCCTATAGGTCCTAGAGCACTGCAGGCAGCCACCTCAAATCTCAAATTCTCACTTAAAATCCGTGTAGCTTTCTAATTTTTATTTTTTTTTTTTAATTTCAATTATTCCTGCAGGAAGTTTGCTCCAGTCTCACACTTCAGATGGTTAGGCACTTTTTTTCTCATCTCCAGCATAAAGGTATTCATGGCCAACCTACAGCCATTTGTTCTCATTTATAGCCATTTGTCCCTGTTTTGATGCAGTGTTGCAGCCCAGCATTTGCCTGCCACAAAGGACACAGAGGACACTGGGATTCTCACCATTGACTCTGGAATGGGTCACTGCAGCAGGAGTGGGGGAGGAGAGAAGAGATAATCTTCATACAGAATACAGAAGTATGAAAATAATCATATTCAAGAAGCTACTTTATTCTGATTTGTTTATACATTATCCAAGCATTTTATTTTATTATGCATTTTAATAATGCAAAGGCTTAAAAGCTGAAAATGAGCATATTCCATGAGCTCAATATATTTCAGTTTGCACATCATCAATTGTTTTTCCTTGCGATTATGCAGTTTTACTTTATCATCCCTTTGATAACAATTTCTGCATAAAACCTGACTTTATATTTCATTTTTCCCATCTGTTATCTTAGCAAAATACATCCAAAACACCCTTTGTATTGCTGTACTAATATAACAGATCAGGAGAAGCTGTGGCATAAGAAATCAAAACCATAATAATGTCTTTGGGTTTTGCATTTTAAATACTGCATTCATTGTTGCACTGAGGTTTGAGATCCCTTTTCAGACATTACTGAGATTACCTTTGGTAATGCCTATTTCATTGTACTTTGATATAAAATAATGTATGTCATAAATCATCTAAGTGACTGTCATTAGAGTGAAAAGCACCTACTTATGATATGTAACAATTTGCTTTTCTAATTTGAAGAGGATTGAGGTATTTTAATTATATAAGGTCTAAAGCCCTTGTGAATGAAATTACAATTCAATGTAAAATCACTTTCTGCACAGAGCTGTAAGTTAGGAAACGATAACAGCTATACTCATCAATTCGTACTTTTTGTCTGGACTAAATACAGGAAAAAATAGAAAAACTTTTAAAGGGAAAAATGGGAAACACCATTTCAGTAACTAAAAACCTGAGAAAGTCCTTAATATTTTTAACTTTAAAAAAAAATGTCTTACTATAGTAGACAAAAATCATCTTTACAGACTACAAGCAGAATTTTTTTCAACAGAAATAAAACACTGAAATTCTGAGATGTATGAATTTCATGGAAGCATGGGTAGGGTTGGGCAGAGAGGTTTATTGAAAAGTTATTGGTATGCTTCACATTTTCAAGACTTCTTCCATTTGGTAGTGAAATGGGGGTTCAGAGCCTATTCTGTGCAGAACAATTTAAAGTTTTTGGAGCACTTCACTTTGAAGGTGATCAGGGCTCTGAACACGCACATTGCAGAGGGATTTAAAATTATGAGAGCTTTTCAAATTGTTTAAAACATTGATTTTTTTATAAAATTGATTTCTCAACGTTTTATTTCTTCAGTGGCTGGGTAATTACAGTAGACCAGAAGCTGAAGTGCTTCTGTCTGAAACCCAGACTCGCTTTCAGTCTCTCTTTCTCATTCTCTCTCTTCTTTCCCCCTCCCTTCTTTCTTAATAAGTTTTCTGGTTTCCCTTGCTGCTGGGACAGACACATCACACTTTGTCCTTGCTCATAAATCTCTCTCTGACCGAGCAACCAGGAAGTTATTAGGGGTGAGGAGAAGGTCAGGTTGAAAATGCAGTTTGATCAGACATGTTCTGGCAAAACAGCACTATACCCACCTCAAGAGTAATGCCAAACACAACTGGGATGGGCTTTTAACCAAATATTCCAGCCACAAGCACCCTCCCATATGTCTCTCAGAGGAGGTCACAGGGACTCCAAAGGATAAAGGAGTAAAACTATTAAGCTGGAATTTGGTTACATGCATGGTTTTCCCCAAAATTCTTTTTTCTCTTGCTCAACACGAGCAGCAATACAGAAAGCCCCACGGACTCATTCAGAAGATTCAGGTGTGCAGCATTTAAAAATCTCCCCAAAGATTTTTGGTTCAATCAGACACAGGGACAATGCATATAAAGTTTGCATCCTTTCACATATTTATGAATTATGATTTTGGGAGGGTTGGGAGGGCATAGGGTTTTTGGTTTGGAATTTTTTGTTTATTTGTCTTTAAATAGAAATACAAGCACTAACCCTGCAGGCTAAAGAGGTCTTCTTATACAGGCCATATTTAGGATGCCATGGGTGTACTGGGCAGATTAGCCATATATCAACTATGTCCTGGCTCATGTAAAGCAGAAAAGCTCAGCACTGACCACTAGAACCAGGATGTTTCACTCTGCTAAAGATCCCAGATCACTTTAATTATGACTGCTGGACTGCCAGTGATGGGTAACTCACCAAGACATTTCTTAGGAATTTATATATGTAGTGTGCATGATATATTATATATAATATATATAAGAAGTTTGCAATTTTCCTCAGTGTTATCATTCTTGGAAAATAAGAGCCCAAAACATTTTACTGATCCACCAGAAAGTATGTAAATGCATCTCAACAGAGAAGCTTTAATTGTAGGGAATAATAATAAATAACTTCTTAGGGAAACATTTCATGAATATATTTTTAAATAAACATAAACACATGCACATATATAAGTTAATTGTTAATTTATCCTAGTCCAGAAAATGCCCCATTTGCCTTTTTTAAAAAAATAAAACTATATTGCCAAGGTTTGGATCAGTGCTTTATGCATTTTTGTAAAAGGCTATATCAAAGAAAAATGAACATATTACTGAATTTTTGTCAGCTTGAAATAACACCTGCCACACACAAGGTCTTTAGCCTTTCATGCACATCATAACTTCATTCTAAATTTAAAGGAACAGGGAAAGCAATAGAGCAAAGCTACCCAGATGTTGTGCGGTCTGTGCAATTGTAAATTTAAAAGTACCAGCTTTCCATCCAGATTTTAACGCACCAGAAACAATTTGAAAATTCCAAGCCACACTGGATTATTGAAATGTCTGGCCATTTTGAAATGAATTTTGGAACAGATGTACAGAGGTAGGCAATAAAGCTGTGATAATAAGGAACATTTCTACATCATCTCACAAAACTACTAATCTATAATGAGGACCAAAACTATTCATGAGAGAGGATGGTTTTCATTATTTTCTTTTTCGGCTTCAGTTTGAGTATTCCGATTCCTTTACTCGCTTGCTAGATTTTGCTATTTCTGTAAAGCATTTGGTAGCTATTTGACTTTATCACTCCTAATCCACAACACAGGCAAGTGTCTAAGTAACTTCATTTCTTCTTCCTCTTTGCTGAAGACAAACAACACAGAAGAAGAGAAACTTAACTAATTTATTGTCTTTTATCTTATTACAATTAACTTCAAAATCTGTGCTTTTCAATAGTGGTTACTGACTTTAAATGTCTCCTTTGGATACACAAATTCAAATATCACAAGAGGCTCTGATTTTCATACAATACAGAATATCTACAGCACAGAGCAGATGACCAGCAAAGAAAATCTGGGTACCCCAAAACCTAAACCACCCAAGCCCAGCTGTTCTGAAATTTTTCCTGTTAACACACAGTAACATTTGAAAGAAGGAAATTATTGTACTCTTGGGTGGATAAGTTAGTCTCTAGACATCATGTAGACAAGGTAGAATAAATCCTTCATAAAACTAAGCAGAAAAGATTGAGAGAGCAGGCAAGCTTTAAGCTCCCAACTGTTTCCACAGGTCAGCTAAAAGCAAAGGTGACACCTTCTTTTAAGCTTTCAGGTGGTCTGCAGAAGGACTTATATGCCTGAAACCTTGTCTAATACTACTAACAGATAGCCAACTAAATTACTTTGTCTACTAAAAGATATCATCACTTCCAACAAACCTTGTCATGCTGACATAAAGCAGATTAGTCAGGCAAGTTGGGTGCTGTGCCAGATTAAGCTGCATACCAAAGGCTTGAGTTTACATATATTACTCACTGCATTTTTCAGCCTATCTGTTCAGTTCATCCTGTTCTGAAAAACACACATTAATCTGGGTCAATTTTAATTTTAAGATTTCTAGATTTAAGTTGTTTTTTTTTTTTTCCTGCAGGGATAAGAAATTTTCCTCTACATGTGAACATCCCCCAAGCTATCTGTTCAGTTCATCCTGTTCTGAAAAACACACATTAATCTGGGTCAATTTTAATTTTAAGATTTCTAGATTTAAGTTGGTTTTTTTTTTTCCTGCAGGGATGAGAAATTTTCCTCTACATGTTAACATCCCCCAAATTGTGCAAAGCCATCTCATTTTTCCACAGCACAAAGAAGGAGCAAAAGACTGAGGGAGGAGGGAAGAACATCTAGTTCCAAGAAAAGAGCAATGATATCTTTATTTAGGCGAGTTATCCCCTGGAGTTTGGCCAGCTCCCTGAAGCATTAACCTGAACGTAGGTGACTGACAGCACTGCCCTGACAGTCAACAGATACTCAGCTTCTAAATCTCTGCCAAACCCTGGCAGTCAGGCAGCTAGGAGCAACTACTGGGCTGATTGCAGGAAAGCCACTGACTTCTGAACTGCCATTTCCCACTCTTCTTTCCCTTTTTCTTGGAAGTTTTCTGCCCCCAAACCTGCCTAATGATTATGAAACAGGACAGGAACACAACCCAAGATAATTTTGCTTTGGTATGCACCTGCTCATTCACTCCAACCCCACCCAACAACTGCAGCGTTTTAGATGTTTTTCAGCTTTGTTTTAGCTTCAGGTGTATGCACAACACTCCCTGTGCCTTGCACAGGTCACCGAAGGATGAGAGAATGTCACAGAACGAGTTTGCTGTTTTCTTAACCTGAAGAAAGGCCTTACTAAGCGCACTCTTTCACACCCACATATGTCTGAGATAGCACATATTTCTCCCTGAACAAGCTCCTGGGATTAAAAGCGTGGGGGGAGGGGAGAAAAATAAATTGCTGAGTAGGAATTTTCATCTGATCTCTGGAGCTTAAATTATCTGGGGGAAGTGCGAGTGGGGAAATAGGAGAGCAGCAAAGAGGAGGGGTCCAAGAATGTCACAAGCAGTGCTGATATCCCGGCCACACTGGCTGCAGCTCCAGCTTCCCACGATGGCACTTCTCTAACAGCACAGCTGGCCTCCGTGTCCCCAGCCAGGGATCGGGAGCGATAACCGCGGCAGGAGCCACACCGAGGGCTGCGGAGACAAGTGTGAGATACATCACAAAGGTGGCAGCAATGTGGCACTTCTTGACGTGACACCTAATGGGTCAAGCCTGACGCAAGACTGGTTCCTATCCATTTGGCCACATCTCCCTGGCTTTGGCGTGAAATCATCATTTTCCAGTTAGTCACACCAGTGTTCCAGCTCCGTGTTCCAGCAGAGCGAAGAAAGGTTTCATTTAGAAACAAAATAGTTAAAGGCCTAAGTGATGACGCTTGTTATGTACAAGGGAACAACTTGGAAATTTAAAAACAGCCTTGTAATTAGGGATTTGAGTGAGATATCACAAAGTTCAGGCTTGAATCCATGCTCTGCCTCAGTTTTTCTGTATTATTTTTGGACAGTCTCTTAGTTCTGTGTGATTCAGTTTCCCATCTGTACAGTAAATGCCTCTTTCCCTTTTTTGTATCTTGAATTACATGCATTAAACTGTACTGAAATCCAGATTTCATCTGGGACTTTGAAGAATTGAATAAAGGAAATTACTATGATTATTTAGACACAGAGGTGCATGCACACACAATGAACCATTCAAATGACTGCTCCAAACTCACTCACTATTACAAAATGCAGAAAAATGGTCTCTTCTTCCTAAATGCTGTCCCAAGCAGCAGACTGCCTGTCCACACTGAAAGCATAAAAGCCAAGAAAATGCTTGAGTACTTAAAGAAAACAGTATTTCCAAAGATGATAAAAATTTGGGAAATTTAAAGTTTTTAAATGTTTCAAGTGTGATAAATTAAGGAATATAATTTGGCATTTACCTTATAATTGTGACCTCTCTCCCAGCCTTTCAAAACACTGCAATGCATTTTCCAGATATGTTCTGTGTGTGAAGAAGACTCTATCTTCAGTGGTGCCTCACATCACAGGCGAAAAAGCTGACTGGGGGCATCCTCCATCCTACCTGCCTACCCTTCCTTGTATTTTTATGCAGAGGTAACAGCTGTAGAAGGGACATGATAAGAGAACAAGGAGGTTGGTATATGGTTCTAGATGTGTTTAATGCAGAAAAAAATACATGGTCATATGATTTTATTTCCTATATTTGACAGCAAAAATATTGCCAAATCCTAGACCAGGATCCTCTTTGGAATGTTATAGCGTGATTGGGAATAAAACTTCATAGTAAACAGCCATGCATTTGAAAAGCAGGTATCCCTGTGTACACAACTGAGCTGCTCTCAGAAGGTCCTGATCCGGTCCTAGCTACTCATGGAGAGTCTAGAAATAATTAAACTAATTACCTGCAAAGATTAAAATAGTAGCACAAATATCCAGTTGAGTAACTGTTGCCCCTGGATACTACTCCAAGTACTCTACTGATTGCTCTCAAGTCCTCAGACCAAAAAAGGCCCCAAGAAGTCCTCAGTCATCCCACAGGACAGGGGTGACTATATTAATTACACTGCTGATAAACTCATTTCTCAACTGTTTCTACTGACCACCAATAACAGACACTACACCAGGCAATCTGCCCTACCCCAATCCTACCATTATTTCTGGAGAAACTTTCCTAGCATCTAATCTGGAACTCTCCTGCTGTGATTTTGGCACCAACACAAACTTGTAAAAGAGGTACCAACATAATTTTTTTTAAAGTCTTTAATATACTTAAAGAGTATTTATGCCTAACTTCAGTGTCTTTTAGAAGACAAGAAAACTGTAGGTTTTCCAGTTTCTCCTCCTAAGCCATTTTTCCCAGACCCATAAATATTCTCAGTGTTTATTCAAAATCTTTCCAACTTTGAAGAATAGTAGCAAACCTAGTCCACACCTTTCCAGTGCCAAGTGACATAACCCTATCCTGAGAGGTAAATGCCTACTCAGTTCCAGTTACAAGGTCTGCCTTTCTTTGCAATACCCTGACATGACTGGTTTTAGGGTTAAGTTTCCATTCAGCTTGTGATCTAACTATAATTCATCAAAACCCTCCTAAAGTGTCATCACCTGCATGTTATGCATCCCATGCTCATGCAGTCAATGACTTGTGAGCTTAGTCCTCGGTTGAATTTTATCCCTTCTTTTACATTGTTTTTTTTACCAGTTCCTCAATTTCTATATGCCTTTCTAAATTCCTAATCCCATCCCCTAGTATATTTGCAGGCCTTTATAACTTCATGTTGTCTGCAAATTTAATAAGCATATTCTGTACTGCTCTGTGCAAGTCATTAGTGAGAACATTGAACAGAGCTGGAAGCAGGACAAATAGCTGTGGAATATTACGCATCACATTCTTCCAATTGGATAGGGGAATGCTGATAACAATACTTGGGATACAATTAACTAACTCAGAGGAGTCTCATCTGGTTTAATCTCTTTTCCTTTCTCCATTCAAGTACGTGTATTCCATCCACCCTTTTCCAGTCCATTTTCAGTGCATTCTCAGAAAAAACCCAAGCAAAAACAACAAACCAAATCCAAAAAACTAATGATTTTAGGAACAGGATCAAAAGCTACAATTCATCAGACCTATACAAGCAGGCAAGGTCCATTCTGTCTAGGTACTTCTTACTCCCCTGGTCTAGGTTGAAATCTAACATCCTCACTGATGCAGTATTAAATTTATTTATTAATTAAAATATCCTTATTTGAGTTGCATGTTAATTGTCAAAGATGTCAAAGAATCTAGTTGTGCACCCAGCGCTTAAGCCTGGCAATTTAAGAACTCAAAGACCTTACCTACACCTCCTGGCTTCTCTTGAAATTAGAGCCTTGATTCCTCAAGAAAAAGGTGAGATGTACCCAAAACACAAGTCCCAGCTCCAGTACTAACTTTGGTAATGAAATGCACAGACTGAATGGGTGGCAAATTTAGATTAGATAATACAAGATCTTTGCTCCCCATCCAAATGGGCTCAAGACATGGGATGCTGCAGAAGTACTGTGTGCATCCCAGAATGTGATGGCATTAGTTACTAGGAGAGTTAAGCACTTCTGTCTCTCTGAGGACAGCCAAGGAAAGTAATCCAAATTCATTTTAAAGAAGGATTAGTTAAATCAGCTAATTAGATAATTATATCTCAGCAAGAAAATTCTTACTGAGACCTAGGGTGGACTAAATCCATTTTCAAAGCCAAGCCAACTTCAGGCAGCTTTCATTTTGCACAAGGGTGTCTACACAGCTCATACTCTGTGAATTCACACCTAATCTGAATGAACTTCCTGAGTGTCCTTCTGGGGGAAAACTAACATGGAAAGGATGGATTTGGAGGGAAAAAAAACCCCAAAAAAACCAAAAAACCCCACCCCCCCAAACAAACCAAAACCAACCACTTTTTAAAAAATTAATAGCTTGATGATTCAGACTTGGATTGAAATCTGTTTCCTATGTGTTATTTAATCAGACAGTTTCATTTGAGCAAATAAAGAGCCAGAAATAGAGTTGTGTAAAAGCGTTCTGAGCAGAATGGAGCTCCATCCCTGTTCCCAGGCTGCCCTGGCATCCCATGCCTTTGGGTGGCTGGGGACTTGCTGATGAAGTCTACAAGGTTTCAGCAGGATGTGGTGCTAGCAGTAAAGTCTGCCTAAAATATGGGTTTGCGTCAAAATCACATATTGAAAAAGGAGCAAAAGGTTGTAAACAAACTAGTTTAATGGCATTTTCACAGCAGAGCAGAGAGAAAGTGGTTGGTCTTGAATATGTTTGCCATGAGAAAAGCAGAGGACAACTTATTTCTGATTCTTCCCCACCCCCAAAGTGTTTTGTGTAACTGTTAAAGCAGCACTTTCCACTGACCCTTTGGAAGTAGTTAAGAGGAAGATATTTTTGAATTTCTACCTAAAAAGAGACTCATAAAACCAGGCAAAGATGGGCCAGCTTTACCCACCGAGCTAGACAGCTGCTCTCTCGCAACCAAAAAAGGAGATTTTGATGGTTTTATTGCCTTCAGCACAATGCAAAAGCTTATACCAAATTCTCTGGCATCTAGTTGCACATCAAGGAAAAGATCATTTACAAGTGACACTGGAAAATTGCCATTTTATATAGGACACGTAGAGAGTGGAAAGTCTGCATTTCCCTCCAGATTGTTCACACCATTTTCTCAGATAAAACCCAGCTTTACAGGAGAGCACTTAAGCAACCTCTGAACAGAGCCAAAAAACTTTCTGTCATTCTTTTTGGATGATCACAGGTTCTAGCACCTTCTCTGGCCACAAGACCAACTTTATGGCACTAGTTTTCCTTTTGGCCTGGTAGTGTGGCCTGGCCTCATGGCACAAAACTCATGGTTGTTCTCAGAACCAGGCTGCATCACCAGAACACAGCTCATTCTTAGGGGAAGCAATGAAATGTTGTGTTCTAGAGAAACTGTAAGAGCTTGAGATCTCTTTGGCCCATCTGTACCTCCACACAGACCGTAGCTCCAACACAAGATGATGCAAGGCTCAATGGCAGACTCCTTTAGTGCCTCCTCAATCTTACACCACTAAACCAGATAGACACTTGGTCTCGGGTTAGGGTTCCACTCAGTGAGTTTCAGGAGAAGCAGACAGCTCTGGACAGCTTGTTTGAACACATGGTGACTTCAGGCACATCTGAAGGGGCTCCAACTCAGCCAGAACGGAACCTGCTGCTTAAACAGCCAGTAACACATCAGCAGCTCCAAAGACACTCATTAGCTCTATCACTAGATGTTATCAGAACAGAAACTGCAGTAATTGACTTTTAAAATAGCTAAAAATCAGTGGGCCAAACAAAGAATAAAGAGAGGCTTTGTCAACTAATCATCCCAACTTAACCAAAAAGGTTCTTTCCTGCAAGGCTGCTCTCAACCTTCCCGACGTTCCTGAGCCACAGCAAACTCTCAGGCCTAGAAATCACTTCCTGATCTTCTAAGATTAAAGTCCATCTCAACATCCATAAAAACAGGTTGCAAGGTCTAGAGTACTTCTTGTGCTGTTTGCAAACCTTACTGGAGTTTGAGGACTTATAGATAATTTTTGGCATTTTGCAGTATCAAATACTGCTCAAACCTGTATTAAAAGAGCATCTCAGCCAGATAGGAAAGCTGTTGAGTAAACACGAATTGGTAAAACTGACTTCAATAAAGAAATCACTTCAGTGCCTTGAAATGCCTGAACCTGTAGAATTAGTAGTTTGGGGATTTGACTTCATTGCTATGAACCCCCAAAGAGAAAATAGTCTGTCAAACCCAGAAAATACAATCTTTTATTTCACTAATTCCTTAAGTGAATGCCGGTCTTCTGTAAGGGTTATTCTTTTCTCAGGCACTTAGGAATACTTTTTTTTTTTCTTCTTGGAAAGACAGTGGAGAAAAATGGGAAGTATTACGTGCACATACATAAGGAGATGGTTAAGGAGAGGATGGAACTCTTGGCTCTTTGCTCCCTCATCTGGGTATTTACCTTTTGTTCAAAGTACTGAGACATTGGTAATTGCAACTTTATGACAAGGACAGGTTTCTGCTGTAGCATTTGTATATCAGCAAGGAGTGATTATCTTGTGACACAGTTTTATTACACCATCCTCCCACTGACTAATTTTTCTTGGTGCTACTGAAGCACTTGAGTGGTTTCTTTCTTTTTTCCTTGTGCCTAAGAACAGCAGAATGACTGTGTAAATAACTGAAGAATTAAGAGTCCTATTTATCCAAATGAGTCCTTTGGTGCCTTCTTGTACCTAGTCTGCGTTATTCTATTTAGCTTGATTAATAAAAACACAAACAAGTGAGAATTTTTTCCTTTGCCAGCAATTAAAGGATGCCGTTGCAAAATGAAACACACCTTCATGTGGAGACTCTTCCAGGCAAAATCTCCTCAGAAACAAATGTATTTCGAGAGCTCATGGGTAAATTCCTTCACACTGAGGAGTTTCCCCAAACCTACCGCCTTAGCAATCACAGCCAAAATGATAATGCATGGACAGAGACAAAGTTCTTGCATTACCTGAGGGTAAGTCCTAAACAACTCTCCAAGTGAAGC